ATCCACTGGCCTTGGGTCCCCAAAGTGTTAGGATTACAGGCGTGAGCCACTGCACCCAGCCTAATTTAGTCTTTTAAAGCTATATGTTTCCCTCTAAGTATTCCTTTAGCTACATTTCATAAATTTTTATATGTTTTGTTTGTTTTCACTCATTTCAAAACATTGCCTAACATCCATTATGATTTATTCTTTGATCTATGGGTTACTTAGAAGTGTGTGTTTGATTTCCAGGTATTTGTGGCTTTTCCCCCAGTTTTTAATTGACATTAATTTTTAATTCTATTGTGGTTTGTATGACTTTAGTTTCATGTATTTTGGAGCTCTGTTAGATGAATATATAATATATAAGGAATGTATATATTGACCTTTTTATCATTATAATATATCTTTCTTTGTCTCAATTTATATTTATCTTAAAGTCTATTTTGTTTTTTTATCAATATAGCCACTCCAGCTCTCTTATAGTTACTGTTTGCATGATGTATCTTTTTCCGTTCTTTTACTTTCAACCTATTTGTATCCTTGAATCTGAAGACAACATATAGTTGGATTTTGGTTTGACTAACATTTTATCCATTCACATTTTAATGTAATTACTCAGTATGGCTGACTGCTATTTAAAAATTTTTAAAATTGAGATATAAGTCATGTGACATTAAATACATTTAAAAATGTACAAGTCAGTGATTTTTAGTATATCCACTAATGAGGTACAGCCATCACCACTATTAAGTCTGTCATTTTGCTATTTAGTTTCTAGATGTCTCATGTCTTTTTTGTTCCTCTGTTCCTTCTTTACTACCTTTTTTGTGTTATATGAATATTTTGTAGTAAACCACTTTGATTCCTCTGACTTTTAAATTTTTTCTGTTATTTTTCTTAGTGCCTTCTCTGGATACTATAATATGCATCTTAATTTATTATTTCAGATTAACACTAATTTAATTATGGAAAAATAGAGAAACTTTGCACCAATATAGCTCCATTTCCTCCCAATATACTCATATGCACACATACGTGCATGCATGCACACACATACACACATACATACACACACACACATACACACTTGACCCAATAATATAATTACTGCTTTATATATTCATCTTTTAGAGAAATTAAGAGGAGAACTGAGGAAAATACATACTTATTTAGTCTTACATTTATGCATCTATTTACCACTTATACAGTTCTCTTCATTCTTAACGTGGATGCAAGTTAACATATGGTAGCAACTTTCTTTTGGTTAATGGTTGTGTGGTATATGTTTTCCCATCCTTTTACTTTCACCCTTTTTATATCCTAGTAGTTAAAGTGTTTTTATTGTAAGCAGCATATGGTTTTTCCCTGTCATTTGGGGCAATCTTTTCTTTTAGTTGTAGAATTTAGTCTTACTTGTAGATACTAATGTATTTGGGTTTAATATGCCATGTCACTATTTGTTTTCTATTTGTCCCTCAAGTTATATGTTCTTTTTTCTCTCTCTTTCTTGCTTTTGGACTTCTGAAGTGTTTTTGTTTGTTTGCTTGCTTTAAATCTGTTTTTCTCTTACCTTGTTGAGTTTTTTTTAACTATAATTTGCTGATTAACTCAGAAATTACAAAATGCATGATTGACTTATCAAGATCCAGTATAAGGGAGTACTTCTACCACTTCAAGGACCTAAAGCACCTTAGGTACAGTTACCTTTTTTTTTTTTTTTTTTTTTTTTTTGCTATTGTTGTATATTTTAATTGAACATCTATTTTATACTTCATTATATATTATTGTTCTTATTTGTAGTCATTCTTGATTTAGAGTTACCCACGTATTTACATTTCTCCTTTCCATTAGTCTTCATTTACTCTGGCATCTTTGTGTTTCCATGTGGGATCATTTGCCTTGTGCCTGAAGAACTTCTCCTGGTATCTCCTTTAAGTGTGGGTCAACTGATGATGAAGTCTCTGGTTTATTTTTGTCATAAAATTTTTCTTTATTTCTCCTTCATTTTAAAAACATATTAATCTCAGCTATGAAATCCTATGTTGACAATTATTTTCTTTCAGTACTTAAAAGTTATTATTCAGTTGCCTCCTAGCTACCATGTTTCTTTTGAGAAGTCAGTTTTCAGTTTACTGTTTCCCTTTAAAAATAATACACCTTTTCTTCACTGGCTCCTTTGAAGATTTTTTTTTTTTTTTTTTTTTTGGTTTTCAGTTTTACTTTGTTAATCTGTTGCTTAGTTTAATCTGTTCAGATTTATTATTGCTCTTGAACCTACAACTTGATGTCTTTAGTCAATTTTGGAAAATTGACTTCGCCACTCTATTTTTATGTATTGGTCCTGCTCCATTCTCTTTTCTCTTTCTCAAACTTCAGTTATCTCTGTGTTAGACCATTTCACAAGCCTAATAATGCCTTGCATGTGTATTATGCCTTTCTCTGTGTTCTTTATCCTTTTGCTTAACCTACCTCAGTCTGGATATTTTCCTCTGACCTACATTCCACACTTGTGTGTAATATGCTCTTTAGCCTATCCATTGAATTGTTTCCAATTTTGATATTTTTTCATTTCCAGAATTTCCATTTTATTTACTTTTGCAGTTTCAAATTTTCTGCCAAAATGCTCCAATTGTCATATATTGCTTTGAACAAATTAATCAGTTATAGTCTGGATATGACAATGCCAGTACTTCAGTCTCCCCTTGGTCTCTTCTTTACAGTCAGCTTTTCCCCCTTGGTTTTCAGTCTGTTCTTAACTCTTTGTATGCCTGAGGACTTTTTTATTGTGTGCTGGATGTTATGATTGCAAAATTATAACACTAATTTGTAACCTGAGCCTCTGGATGGTATCTTCCTCCATACGGAATTTACTTTTGCTTCTGGCAGTTTTTCTAGATACAGTTGTGACTCTCCAGATTGTCTGATTGAAAGGACAGAAACAACTAGTTCAGGAGCCCTTGCCAGCCTCTAGAGAAATCCTCAGTCCTGACACATTAATACCCTGCACAGATCGGAGACTGCTGGCCACGCAGACTCACCAAGCCACAGACTTGTCTTCCACAAGCATGTTCTTACGTCAGCTACGAAGTGACCAAGCCACATGTACTAAGGGTTGAAATCAAAGATATGTACAGGGTATTAAACAAATACCAAGGGGAACAGTTGACTTGAATACAAGGTCAAAATCAGCCACAAGTTCTACGATCCAGTGCTGATATCAGATACTAGCTTCAAGGACAGTTTCTTTTCAAAGGCTTATTCCAGATTTGTGATATATGCATTTGCCAGGGACAAATTTATACTTCTGAATTAACCAATGCAGCAAAAGCTTTGAATCTGCTCACAGTCTATTTAGAAGCATTTGTGGTGAACAATGGAGGAGCCCAATTTGTCATATTCCTGCTTGCTAATCCACATCTGCTGGAAGGTGGACAGTGAGGCCAGGATGGAGCCGCCGATCCACACTGAGTACTTTCAGTACTTTCGCTCTCAGGGCGCAATGATCTTGATCTTCATGGTGCCAGGTGCCAGGGCAGTGATTGCCTTCTGCATCCTGTTGGCGATGTGCGGGTACATGGTGGTGCCGCTGGACAGCACTGTGTTGGCCTACAGGTCTTTGAAGATGTCCACATCACACTTCATGACGCAGTTGAACGTGGTCTTGTGGATTCCGCAGGATTCCATGCCCAGGAAGGAAGGCTGGAACA